GGCTCCCGGCCTCGGTGGAAGCCACCTCCCATTTCACTAACGCATCTTCTTTCCTGAAGGGGCCCTTCCTGCTGTTGAGCCGTTCCGGAAAGGACTGAATGACCTGATGGGTGTTTGCCAACACGTGCTCAACACATTTGAGGTGAGACTATTCCTGAAGAGCTCTGGGGCCTTTTCTATCTCCTGAGACCTGCGTTGTAGGCACTTTTGATGTGAAAAACCCAATAGTTTTTTCAGGCATTCTCCGCCTTACCTGCGGCATGGCTTGGCTTCCATTCCCTTGGAGCCACTGTAAAGCTCGGTCACTTCAGAAAGCGCCTGGAGCTCTGTCAGGGCTGCTCAGGTCCCTCAGCCTTTCCAGGCACGGGGCAGAGAAGTCACGGCACAGACCTGGGTGGCGGCACTGAGATGTACGAGTCGCTCGGATATAAGCTGCTGACATTTGTCCTTTGCTCTTGTTTGCAGAGGAGCATGAAGGAATACAGGGCGCAGAGGGAGGAAGAGATGCAGTAGTGTTTGGGGGTGGCAGTCCCCGTGGATGTGTGTAACGTCTGTGTGCTGAATTCCCTGTGTCAAGAGGGTTTGGTTGGTTGGTTTGGGGTTTTTTTTTATGACCGCTTTGCTGCAAATCTGTATTTTCTCTAATAATAAAGTTTATGAAGTTTGACGCCGCAGCGGTGACACTGCGTTCAGCTCAGCACGGGTATGGAAAATGACAACTAGAATGCAGCTCTTTTCCATCTTATTTCTTTCCTTCTCCAAGCATTGTTGCTGTTCCCTGCCCGGGATTTTCGGATCACAGAGTTTGCAGGTAGTCCGGTGCACAGAGTCAGGCTGCCCCGGAGTCCACGGGGAGCCAAGGGGTTCAGTGCTGTGTAAAATCAAGCTTTTAGAGAGGCAGCACCCTCTCCTAATTTCAATCATTGAATCATCACCAGCGCAGTTGACTTCAACAGATGCGGGCCAGCCTTCCTTTTTGAACAGATCACTATAAAATGATGCTTTCCTCATGGGGAGGGCGAGTAAAAAACCGCTTGCCTTTTTTAACCCCCTGAAGAACGCAGCCAAGGGCAAGCCCAGACCACTCCTGGTGAGCAGGTTTAAAGGGTACAGCACTGAAGCCCTGGGGCCCGCTGGCAGCCAGCCGAGCGAGGGCCTTTTGTTGAGTGTAACGCGGCATGAAATTGCAGGGGTTTTCCTGCGCCGCGCCGGGCGGAGGATTGCGAACCTTTCTGGTTTGCTCCGCGCAGGGGGGACGCTGCTTGTCTCTTCAGTGGGGGTCTGCAGTTACCAAAGGAACCTGCTGGTGCTCAATTAAGTATTTAGCAGACTTTGCAGACCCCCTGCTGCTTAATAAGAAACACCCAGAGATTTTTTTCCTTTCAAACACCAACATGTTTTATTAACATACAGAGGAGTAAGAGGGAGGATGTAGAATGTCAGGTTTTCTCTATAAAATCGCTCTGTTAAATACGAATTGACGGACTTGGTCCCCCTGACAGGCTGCCGGTGGGTTTGTGGTTGCAGGCGTTAGGCCAAGGAGCCGGCTGAGCGCTGCCTTTTGTAAAAAAGGCTCCTTTGCCTCTTGGTTTGCTGCAGCGGATTCATCCTGCCCGTGCCAACGTGGTCCCGCATCTGTAGCGGGCAGCTGCTGTGGCTTTGCTTTTCAGTAATCCTGGCTGGCCTGGTTTCTTCGTGCTGAAACCCGTGGGTGGTCAAAGCATGCTTTCACGTAGGGCTTGGGACGCGTGGGGAAGAGGGGCTACGCCTGGGGGGTGCCAGCAAGTGTTTTATCCTGCTGCCCAGGGGCAAGCTCAGGCCTGGGGGGACATTCTGGTTGGGGAATTCCCCAGCCCAAGCAAGAGAGAGACATAAAAAAGCAGGAAAGTGGTTTCCCCCGGGGCAGGGGGGAGGGGGTGACGGGGTGAATAAGCCAGGAGCTGACTTGTGCACCTGGGCTCAATCCCAGCCCAGGTGTCCTGGAGAATATTTACCAGGTCTTGAAACCTAGCTGGTCGTCCTCCAGCATCCAGGGCATGCTGTGGGCCGGCTACCTGTTCCCTGAGCTGGCCTGCAAGGACCACTCTGCTCCTGGACGTCCCCTGCCCGAGGAGGCAAGGAGGGGCTGAGGAAGGACTTCTTTCCCTGACAAGTGATCTGACGCCTCCGTGGGCCTCCCTGGTGCATGGCCCAACAAGCAGACCCTTGTTCCAGGTGATGAGAGGTTTGTAATTAGTGGCAAGCGCCCGGTGATGCCCGTGGCAGCGGATGGGAAGGTCAGCACATCCCATCTCTCTCTTCCCACCCTCCCTTCCAGCCACGGGCACCGCGCAGCCGCCCTGGCACCTCCTGAGCATGCTAGACTTCAGTGAAAGCTTAGCTAAAAAAAAAAACCCAACACCTGGAAAATGTTTTGCTTTATTTGCAGGTCTTTTCTCCCTTTTTCCTCTCTCTTTTTTTTTTTTTTTTTCCCCCGTGACAAGTTGAAAAAAGGAAAGAAGAAAGAAAGAAAGAGCGGTAAGAGAGAAGAAACCAACAGGAAAACAATAAAAAAACTCGGTAACTAAAACTTTCTCGTAGGTTTCCTTAAATTTTGGCAGGAGATGCGGGCGTGATTTTTTTAGAAAAACATGCTGGAAAAGCACTCGGGGATTAATTATTTTAAATCATAAATTTGTCAAAGCTCTTTGCCATATTTCGGTTACCTCCAGTGGCTCTTTCAGCTGAGATGGGACCTTCCCCGTTGCCTTTCCCACCTTAGTTTGACCACGAGGACGAGCATCTCTGTCCCCCTTACAAAAGGCGTGAGTGAACCTTGGTGTCACGGTGCTGTGGCCAAGGCGCCCCAGGGTCCAGCCCCGCTGCCCCGTTGGAGCTCAGCCTTGTTGGCGGGGGGAAGACGAGCTACAGGCAGCAAAACGTGGGGCACCCCTTTCTTTTTTCCCTTCGGAGCTGTGGTCTTGCAGGCAATCCCGCCCCGGGAGCCAGCGGCCGAAGGAGGCTGCGGACTTTACGGCGGCTGAAGACCACGGATCAAGGCTCTTCTGGAAGGGCGCATCTCCTGGATCCTCTCCCTCCTGTGTCAGGGAAAGGATTAGCTGCTTCCAGGTTATGCAGGGCGTTGGAGAAGTGAGGTCTGGTTCCTCGCTCCCAGCCTCATCTGGGTTTGAGCCATCTCTGCCTTCCCTTTCCCAGGCTTACAAACTCTTCCCTGGAAGGGCAACCCCGTGGGCCAGCAACGGTGCCTGGCTAGCCAGGAGCTCTCCTGTCCCTGGGGGGGGGAGCTGGAGCAGACGGTTCAGCTGGGTGCTGCCGCTAGCTTCTGCCAAGGAGGTCTGGTCCCCCAAGCCATGCAGTCACCTACAGTCGCTACCCTGTGCCCTACACAGGCGGGGGGAATCCTCCCTGGGTGGGGAGCCTGGGGCAGATTTCCCAGGAAAAGGTAAAGAGGGGGGGGGGGGCTTTTAAGGCTCCCCAGGTCAGGTTTGGCCACGCAACGAAGCCAAGTTACTGCCCATCTCTCCCTACCGTGAACGGGAGGAGATTTCGGGCCGTTGATGGTCTGCCAGGCGTGCGTGCTGCCGGGATCGTACCCTGGCGCTCTGCCCAGGGACAGACTGTCCCAGCAGCAGAGGGAGAGGAAGAGGGATGCTCTCAAAGCTTTTCTTTGGCTGTTTCAGCTGGAAATTGTCACTCATGGTCCTCTCCCTCTCCTCACCCCACATCCATCCCAAAGTGACCACATCTCAACCTTCCTTCCCTTCTCACACACATCTCCCCACCCCATGTTTCCACAAATGGCCGCAAGTCTCTTGGCTTTCCTGCAAGGAAATGGAAAAACCCTACAAGGATTGAATTCCCCTTCCCCCTCCTCCAGAGGCGACTCGGACCACAGGATGGCTCGGCGTGGTTCAGTGCAGAGCTCGTCCCAGGGGTCCATGAAATGCTGCAGCTCCTTCCAGGTGGGTTACAACACGAAGGCAAAAACGATTCAGGCCCAGCCCAGAAACAGCCGTGCGAGAGAAATGGAGGGGTCCTGCCGCCTGGGCACAGCGCCTCCGCCTCTCGGCCCCGCGGGTGGCACGGCTTTGCTAAGAGCTGTACTTGTTACTCAAGCGGGAGCTGCTCCGGTCCAGCCCAAGCTCCTGCCCGTTGGCTTTCCACTTCCCGACAGAGCCCTTCTCGTCCGTCGGCGTGATGCTCAGAGCCGGTCTTTGGCACCAGCAGCACAGGCAGGACTGCGAGGAGACAGGAGGGTGGAGAGAGGGGGGGTTACAAGCGTGGGTTACAGGGTAAAAAAGGAGGAAATAATTCCCTTACTGAGGCTGGCGGGTCAACCTGCGCAGTGCCGGGCTGGGAAACGCAGCCCGCATTTCTGAGCCCTGCAGACCTGCTGGGACCAGGTTTTCCAAGACAGGGCTGGTGTGCTCTGCTGGTGAAGTTACCGAAATCTTGGGTACCTTTTGCAGCTGTGTTTTCTCATCCTTGGGGGACGGAAAATGCGGGTAATGCTTAGCTGGGCTCAATTTCTTTTGTCACAGCAGCTGGGAAGCGATTCCCATGCCATCCCATCCCATCCCATCCCATCCCATCCCATCCCATCCCATCCCATCCCATCCCCTTCCTTTCTTAGGGCTCCACTGCTCCTGAAAATGATCTCCCAATAACTTGGGCACAAGGTTTAAAGCAGCCCTGGTCCCTGGTGTAACGGTTAGTGGGGATGCTTCTGATCCAGAACGACAAGGACTAGGTCCTGCACTGGCAGAAGCCTCCCCGGAGCAGGGCAGCGGGCTCTAGCGTACTTGGAGCTGGGAAGGGAGGCACCTAGCAGGGGGAAAATTTGGGAGAAGAAATTTTCATCAGTACACGAGCAAACAGGGGAACCCCGTGGGCTGGTGGCAGCCCCAGCGTGTCCCTGATGGGGCGCTTGACTGGGAGTCGGGAGCTGCGAGGTCCAGACCCATCCCTGCCACCGCGTGCTGGGTCTGTTTGCCAAACCACTCCCTGCCTTTCCCCCCACCTCGTAAGCACAGAAGCCCACGGCAATGGGGGTGCCCCTGGCTGCACCGTGCCTGGTGGAGGGAGCTTGTGCCCCTGGGGACCAGTGTCTGGGAACGGTCACCATAGCCAGGAGCTCTGGAGGGGTCAACCCTACCTGGAAGCAGTTCTTGAATTTCCGACTGACAAAGTAGAGAGCCACGGGGTTGATGCAGGAATTGAGGGAGGCCATGTTGATCCCGAAGTAATCCATCACCAGGAGGAAACTGAGGCGGGAGGGGAGAGAAGAGGGTGGGCATGTTGGAAGGTCACGGAGTGGAGAACCGAGGGAGGGTTTCCAAACTGCCTGGCCCGGGAACCCGCTTCCATGGGGGGCCAGGGACTGATAGCACAGAGGTGAGCACAAAACCGTCCCTCCTCTAGCTGGGCAATTGCCCAAGACTTTTTCTTGCGAGGAGCATTTCCCAAGGAAACAAGAAGCAGGAGATCTGATTGCCCCTGGTGACTTCGGTGGTCTCAAACTCAAGCACAGCAGCAGTGTCTGGCCTGGACTGGATTTTCATGTGGTGGGTAAAGAGGAGAGGGGAAGACAGGCACCTACCAAGTGGCAGAAAACGCGCAGAGCCCTCGGGCGAGATGCAGTCCCTCTGGCCCTGCAGGGAACGTGTCTCTGCCTGGGAGACCTCTTTAACCCATAGCTTTATAGAGACATCTCAAAATTTAATTTCTTCTGCTCTTATGGCCCCCCACACCCTTTCTCTGTGCCTATCAGGGAGCAATGCCATCTAGAAAGGAGCTGTTGGAACAAGACGCTTGGAAGGCAACTCCACTAAGCCTGCAATGAGCCCAGCAGAGCCTCGGTTGGTGCCCGCAGGGGCTGCCGGCACGGTGCCCTCCTGCTGATGCCCCTACCTGAGCAGTTCACATCTGTTGGGGTCCGTCTGGTCATAGATGGTCTTTTTGAGGATGCGGCTGAGGTGGAGCGGCAGCCAGCAGAGCGCAAAGATCACCACAAGGCAGAACACGGTCTTGGCCACCTCCCGGCGCTGCGAAGAGAAGGTGGGCAGGAGAGAAGGGGGGGTCTGGCTGAGCGTTGGAGAGCGGGCGGAGCAAAGCGCCATCTCCCCATGCTGTGTAAGGGCCCTTCAAGCACTTTCTGTCACCTGCTGATGGCTGGGCACCCCTCTTGAGGGCAAAGCACAACCTGCAGGTCCCAACTCCTGCAGCATGGGGAGGACTCCGAGATCCAGGCTGCAGAAAGGAGTAGGGTATCAGCAGCACAGGATGGCCCAGGCTCCTCCATGCCCCTTCCCACCACGTCTCCCGGTGACTTTGCTGGGGCGATGCTCCCTGGGACGCGGGGGCCCCATCCTCCACCCTTCCCGCTGTGTTACTGTGACAGCCAGCTGGTCCACCTCAAGGGATCACGCTGCAAAGCACGGGAGGGGACAGTAAGCCCTTCTCTTCTTTGCACACCTTGCCTGTGATACCGTATGTTCAGGTCCAGTTTGGTGTGATCGGGGCTGGCACGGCACGGCACGGCACGGCACAACCAGAGGTAAACGACCATAAGAAATTGCAAACCGAGCTGCTCCGTGGCCGTAAGGCTAGTGGTTTGGCTTGTCCCCGAGATTGTAAAGCTGGAGGCCCATCTCCCGGGATTGATCCATGCATCTGCATCAATGGGCCAAGGTCCGCTGACCACCATGAGGCTATCTCAGCTCATACGTGTCCCTACAGGGGCAGGCGCCTGCTCTCCCCATCGACAGCACTCCCTCCTGCTTTGGGGAATACCAGAGGTTCTGCCCTCTTGGTTTTCTCACCCGTTTCATGTGGTCGTTCAGAGCAATTCTCATCCCATTTCTCTTGCTCAACATCTCGCATGACATGAGGGTGTAGAAGATGCCAGTGCATACCAAGGGCAGGCAGAAATAGAAGCCAAAAAGCCACCAGTCCTTCACGTCACGGTAGAACTGCGTGCAAAAGAAAGAGCAATTGGAAACTGGGGAAAGATGGGGGGTAACTGGGGCATGAACTGACCCTGTCCCTGACGCTGGTGCCAGCCTGTATCAAACACTGCCGGTGTGCGGACGTGTGACCGTGCCTGGGCTGATGCACATGGGATTGTCTTCCCCAGGGCTGGCACACGCTCAACCCGAAGACGTAAAGGCTGGTTTGCATCTCGCTGCCGGTCCAGCCTAGCGCTCTCGTGCAAGGAGCTTATTTGGCAGACACAGTGGGATTGGGTTCTGGTGCCTTGCAAGGGTCTTCATTCCCTTGCTCACCCTTAGCTGACCCTGTGACAAAGGTTACCCGTGATGTGGAGATGCTCGTTGGCCTGCTGGGACAGCGTAGCACGTTCCGAAGCTTCCCGAGATGCGTCATGACCCTTCGGATGCGGATGGTGAAGACCCAACGCAGCT